TAACAAACACTTTGAAAGTTTCACATAACAGAATTTTGGTGAAAAACGCGTGAGAAGTCGACCTGCAGCAAGGGGAAGGTCGACCTGAGCTCTCCCGATTTCAAACTATGCAGAAAACAATACTTTGCATCGACCGGAACAGGTCATGCATCAACGCACAGGACACTAATTTAGACAATCACAAATGCACACAGTATGAGTCGACCGCAAAAATGCACAAAAAAATCTATTAACAGTGTTAACCGATTTTGGAACAATGTTAATCAATCAACCCTTTAGAAAAGGCAATTTTTTGCTGAAAATACAGTGTTAATCGATTAACACTTTGCCAGTGCAAAAGAGTTTATCAATTAACACTGACGCAGTGGCTGAAATTTGATTTTTAAAAAGTACTTTTGGCCACTTGTGATTTGTGCAATCACGCACATGCTAGGGCAAACATTTATGCATGAAAATCAAGTCCAAAAACAGCAAATAATTATCAATGGAATCAATTAACACATCAAGATCAAGGATCAAAACATGGCATAATGAATTCACAAACAAGAAAAAGTATCGAACTACATCGCAAACAACACGAAAGCTATTGAAACAATAAAATGAGCAAAGGATAACCAACCTACAATGCTGAGATTTGCCTTGGATGTTGTTGCAAATGAATTGTGATGAAGATAATAAAAGAAAACCATAGAAATAAGAATTTGCAACCAAACCGTAGCGGAACAAAGAAAATTACGACGAAATCTTCAAATACGAATTTCCACCGAGAAGCTTGGAGTAATCACTTGAGATGAATCAAAGTTCGATAAAACTCCATAAAATCAAGTAGAGTTGCAAGATTATGATGGTTAAGTTTAAGAGAAAAGTACTTCCAATGTAGAAGTTGTTACTTTTTAATGGTGAATTTGAGCTCTAGTGAGGTTTGGGAAGAAAAGTGAAGATGAATATGAGTAGATTTGCAGAAAATTCAGAGAGAATGTGAGAGAATTGAGAGTGAAAATGGTTGAAAGTGAGAAAATGATCAAGGGTCATTTGTGAAATGGTGAAGCTTTGTTTATATAGAAAAGAGGTTCGTAGTTGCTAGGTTTGGAATGAGCTTTGAAACTAGCCTTGGAGTTAGTTGGACTCAACTCACTGAGTTGGAGGTTAACTCAGCTAGTTAGGTAGTTGACTCGGTAATCATCCCAATGCAAACTCAATCAAAGGGTTCTTATGCTTGCAAATGAAGTCTCATGATAGTCTCAATTCAAATTGATGGATTGGAGTATATGCCTTGAAGTGTTTGAAAAGATCTTGAAATGTCTAGAGATGTCTAGAATGTTCCACACAATGCTAGAACCAAGTAGACCCCAAAATAGTATAGTGCAAGTTGTTGTCCTGAAAATGCAGCAGATTCTGCATTTTTTACAAGGGTTAATTGATTAACCCATTTGCACTAGCAAATCGTTAATCGATTAACCAGGCCAGAACTTGCCCAATTTTCCTGAAAAATGGTGTTGTAGCCACGACTTCGACTTTTAAACTTTTGCTTTTATAAGTAGGCATAGAAACCCTTGTTTTATGCTTGTGTTGATGATGTGATTAATCGGGCTTGGAAAACCTGAATATTCCTGCAACAAAAAACACAGAGAAAAAGTGTGAATGTGTATGCCAGCGATGCGAATGCACATGTTTATGCAAAAGCAAAAGAGAGGTCCAATTTTGGGTTATGACAGTCATTATTCTTCTAAATTCATCGAATTTTCCTCATAAAAATTACGTAATGATGAATGCCATCATGCCTCTATAAATACCTCTCCTCTAACGGGAGAAAAGAGATCATTCATACCCTAAGCACAATGCTTACATATAAGCTCAACCACTTCACATGAGATGACCCTATAAAACTATTGTGAAGGTAGTAACACTACCACACATGGCCTCTCGACGATGCAGGTAAGCCCTAACTACCCTAAATTGTTATAAACCTACTAAGGCATATGAGTGTCCCATACCTTTGTAGGGATATCACTCTTAAGTAAGTTCTATCTAGTAGGATCCAATCTTGAAGAAGTTACTAGGAGAACACAATTACTTTAGAGGGTCCTCAGCTACTCCAGGTACTAGGGAGAATCAACTCAACTGACGTGACTTGATGATCACTAGCGGAATCATGAATGAGTTGGCATGAGTATGTAGAGGCCACATAATAAGAGTCTTCTTTAGAGTGACGCCACCACCACTTATAGTGTTGTGAGAAGGTGAAATTCCTAATCACAAAAGAAGTTTAAAAATAAAAATTAGCTCATGATCAAAGAGGTTGATTCTTCTCCACTTAAGATCGCAGTTCCAAGCCTGATCCTCCCACCTGCCAACCTCCCCTACAGACTAACCGACCTCCTCAGAAATAGAAAAAAAGCCTTCGGAGCCTAAAACTCTAATAGGAGTATTCCCAACCCAAAAATCTATCCAAAAGAATTGATAAAACCATATCATACTTTCTTAAGGAGGCTATCTTGAAACCAATTTAAGGGGACCTAAGCTTTGGCACATAGGAGAGACACCCATCTCCACCAAGGATCCGAATATTGAAGTCAACTAGCTCTACCACTCATGATAAAAGATATATGATTAAGTCCATATTTAGCAAATAGAATATCACGCCAGATGCTTGAAACATACAAAATTAACCGCTACCTTCACTTGCCTAAAATAACCAAGTTAACCATTGGAAGATCACAAAAAATGATACCTCGAAACTTCTTAGGCTTTCACGCATCAGACCACCTAAAATAGGCAATCTTGGAAACCCCTTTAATTTCATCTGAAGACATCTTCCTTAAATTTTCACAATCTTCTTTCACACATTAACATACATCGGTAAAAAAGACAAAAAAAAGAAGAAGAAATGAATAACATTAAGAACATAATTAAGAGGATCACTCTCCCTCCCAAGGACACATACCTATGTCACCACGACAAGTGCCATCTAGTGATAAGATTAACTAGAGGTTCTCAGTAAAAGATAAATGGGGGTTGACCCCCCACGAGAAAACCAAGTTACTTGAACGAGAGAGACTCTTATTTATAATGGAGGAAGTCATAAGCTAGATCTAAGAAGACAATATCAGAATTCACTCCAATGTGATTACATTTAGAAAAATTCACCAGAAGGCCTGAAGCTAACTCAAACCCTCGGAAAATAGCCTTGATTGACCAAATATTCTCGATGGAAGCATCTTCCAGAATAATCGTTTCGTCCACATAATGAAGATGGGAGACCACTAAATTTGGGATCCCACTCTAAAGCTCAAGAAAAGCTGTAAATTCACAGCCTTAGAGAATAGTTCACTGGGACCTTTTGCCACCAAGTGAAAAATGAAATGAGTAAGAGGTCACCTTGCTTCAACCCCTTTTGGATACTAATTTCTTGGGTTGGAAAATCATTAACTAAGACCACAAGATTACTAGAAAATACACAAACGCGAATCAAATATCCATTTATGATTAACCCCAAATCTAGAAAACATATAACTTAAAAAGAATCGACTAACCGAAGCACAAGCTTTGTCAAAATTCACTAAAAAAAGAGACAATTTTTTTTTACTCTTCTTGGCTAGGTCCGCCAACTCATTCACAACAACCACTTTATTAACTAATAGTCTACCTTTGAGGAAGGCTGACTGGTAAAGGAGAAATAAGTTTATCCATAACACCAGAAAACCTACCAATAAAGACTTTGACAAGAAGCTTATAAAGAGACTCAACCAAGGAAATAGGTCGAAATCCCCCAACTAAGAAGGAGAATTAACCTTCGGAATCAAGGTTACAAAAATGGAGGGAAAATGTGGGGAAGAGAAGCAAACATATGAAACTAATACTTCCTCTATCCCACAATGAGTGACCTAGTTGACCATTTCACAGAGATTAAGAAACATGAATAAATGAAAGAGAGAAAATGATATTTTTACTAAAGTACCCCTTATCAAGTATTGATAATGATGAAAGTAATATTAATTAGAGAATAGAATTGAAAAAATTGCATTGAAAATTGAAACAGGTTATTCATTTTTGAACACTTTTTTATTCCAAACAGATTACTCATTATGAGACGGAGGGAGAGACGGAGGGAGTAAAACGTAACCCCAACGTCATCCCTAAGAAAGGACCAAAACTTCTTAATAAATGAGAAATTGAAACCATCAAAACTAGAACTCTTATTACTAGCACATAAAACTCTTATTACCGTCAAGACTAGCACGATCCTCGTCTGTGAGAGAGAGTGTCTGAGAATGAACACAAAAAAAACCATTATAAGTAAGTGTTTGAAAAAGGAAAAAAATTGTTTCAAATTACAATTAATATAAAATATTAATATTATTTTTCAATTATTTTTTAAAATATTTATTATTCTCTGCTTTTAATTTTAAAATTTTATCTTTAATATTTTTAATAAAAATAATTTTGTAAAATAAATTATAATTGATTTTTTATATAAGAGTGAAAAAAAAAACATATAACTTGACTCAGAGAAAGCTAACACATATGTAAATACTATAATATTCTTGAATTTTGTATAAATTACTATAATATTCTTGAATTTTGTATAAATTGTAATTACAAGGATATTTTTTTAAAACATTAGTAAAAGTAAAATCAGCATAAATATCATAAGTAATTTTACACACATATAATTGTGATTCGATGATTTTGTAAAACTTTTTACATTAATCATCCATAACCATTAAACTAAAAAAAATACATCAAAGATTTCTATTTATAAATGTAATTAATCATAAATTTCAAAATAAATGATTTATTTCTAGAAATGATAGGTACCTTCTAAATTATCTATATTAATTATATTTTTCTATTTAAACCTTCTTTTATTAATACATTTTCTTAATATGTATGAATCAATCAATATCCTACTCATTTTGGGACATATTGATCTCTTTTGAAAAAGTTTCTCGTATTGTTTGCGAATATATACAAACCATTTTGGTTTCATCCTCAATGCCATGAGAAGCTTTTGCAGAAACCGTTCTCTTGTAAACATTTTCCACTTTCTTAAGATTTTCACCACTCTCTTGCTCTTTTACCATTCCTCTTTCTTCCCCATTTTCCTCCACTCATTTTCACATCTCTACGCTCTTTCCATCACCCTCTTCTCCAACTCTTTCTTAGCGTTTCTCATCTTCAATGCCATCATTCTCTTCCTCTATATATTCTCCAATCAAAACGGCGACGTTCCCAGCGACAGCACCTATAACCATAACCTGAACCAGTTTCTTGAAATAACCGCACCGGAGTTAGTTACCGATCCGGTGGAGTCTCAATCGGAGAAACAACAAGATCCGGTGGTAGAGACGACTTTACTAGAGAAGAAGCAACGTGACTCTTTCAATTCGGAAGTTAGAGAGTCTTCTGTGACGGCGGTTACTGAGAGCACGACCACGACAATGACTTGTTGCACGACTGTGACAACAAGGGGAGATGATAAGGTTTCGGTTTCTGAGGAAAAATGTTACCGGAGAGTTCTGTCGGAGTGTTATGAGCGGAGGTGTGTGGTGGCGGATGAACGGCGAGAGATGAAGAGATTCAACACGTGTTTGAAGAAGGAACCGCAGAGGCAACTGTGTTACGTGGAAAAGATGAGTAAAGAAGAGTTTAATCGAACCGTAGAGGAATTCATTGCTAAACACAAGAGGATGCAAAGGGAGGAACAAGAACAACTACGATCTCAAAAAACTGAGTATTTGGCTTTGGCTCCATAATAGGGAAATAGTCATAATATTATTCCATTTTATTATGAATAGAATCATAGTCCATTTTTTTTTAGTTTAATGGAATATATCTTTATCTTTGACAAATGAATTTTTTAGTGTGCATGTTATTATTGTTTCTAAGTGAATTGATGGAATTGTTTAGAATATTTAAAATTTGTTGGAAAAATTTTATTATTTATTATCATTTTTTTTTCTTTCAATTTGAGCGAAATGAACATTTTGTTTTATTTCGTTTTAAAATTTTCAAACAATAAAATGGATTTCATTCTTTTGACTATGATTTCACTCTATTCCGTTCTGTCTCACTTCGTTCATTTTATTCATAGCCTTAAATTTTTATAAAGATTAAAATAAAAATTTAGGTCATATATCACGGTATTAGGCAGTCACAATAACTCATTTTCCACGAATTTAGTTTTTAATCTAAGATAAGTGATAAAAGGAAAATAGGGATTTCATCTCATTATTTATGTTAACTATTGATTTATTCAACTTTTATAAAGGAAAATGTAAAATAGTGATATGACCGATCTTGACTTTTATGAGGTCCGAAAGTAAATAATAAAAATTGATTTCTAATAAAAAAATTAAGTAATTAATTTTGAATTTTAAATTTTTATTTTGGGATTCTTTTTTTCTCTTTTGTTTAGAATGTGCTTGATTCTAGGTAGATAGAGGGGAGGAGAAAGAAGAGAAGTAAATATTTTTAATTAAATGTATTTGGTTTAAATTTTAGGAGGGGGAAGAGGGAAGGGGAGGAGAACAAATCCTCTCCAAAACACATTTGTTGCACCCTTTTAAATCGAGGGATTTGGAGGGGAGTAGAGATAATATGATTTTTATCATTTAAATTTCTCTTATATTTACTAAAATATCCTTAATTTTATCTTAATATTTTAAAATTATTCATTTTCTTTCGTGTAAGTGTTTCTCTTTTATGTGATTCTCTCTTGCTTCTATTAGTTTATTAAAATTGTTCTCCACCTTCAAATCATTTTTCGTATTTTTATACTTAATATACATTATAATCAATGCAAATTTGTTTTTTTATAAATTTTTATATTTGTTTTTATTTATGTTCATTTATTTTTCTAATTTTGTTATGTATTCTATTGTATTTTCTTTTATATCAAATTTTAAATCATTCTTTTTTTTTGTCTATTACTCTCTCTGTCCCAAAATAATTGTCATAGTTAGTCATTTCACATTGATTAAGAAAATCACTATGTCAAAAAAGACCTTTAGCAGCGCTTAAAACCGCTGCCTAAAACGGCGCTGCTAAAGGTAAAAACAGCGTTTTTTTAAAGTAAAAAAGCGATGTTATGGCCCACTTTTAGCAGCGCTTTTCCAGAAAAGCGCTCTCTTCCTCCTCCCCTTTTAACATCACTTTTAAAAGCGCTCTCTAAAGTATATTTCCTTAATACTTAACAGCATTTTTTTTAAAAAGCACTCTTTATTCCCCCACCTTTAACAGCGTTTTTCAAAAGCGCTCTCTAAAGTGTATTTGCTGAATATCTTTAGCAGCATTTTCTTAAGAAAAGCGATGTCTTTTCCTCCACCTTTAGCAACGCTTTCGCTCTCTTTTCCCCCTATAGCAGCGCTTTCAGAAGCGCTCTCTTTTCCCACCCTTTTAGCAGCGCTGTCTTTTCTTCCAATCATTGAATTTTTTTTCAAAAAAATCACTTTTTCATAGTGTTTTTTTGGTAAAAGCGCTGTCTATTTTGCATATTTTTATGAAGTGATTTTTGTTGAATTCTGTTGCATAATTCTTTATAATTTTCCCATAAACCTGCTTATAACAATTACATTCACCACATGCCTTTATTTCAACACTTTGGCCTTATATATACCATAACAATTCAACACATAAATCTGCTTATAATCATTGTAATTCAACACATAAACCTGCTCATAACCATTGTAATTCAACACAAGCCTTTATTGCAACACATATATAGGCCTTATATATATTATATTATAATTCAACAGAAACGATCCATAATTCTAAAATATATTCCAAAACCAATAACTTCACAAATACATTCACTATACATATAATTACAAATTCCATATTTCCGGATCCTCATAACAACTAACTTCTAGATCGAAGTATATCAACAAATTCCAAAACTATATACGACTTCCATAACTATAATTATCCAGTAGTATGTATATAACATCACAACAACACAAATCTCTATAAACTCCGATCAAAAAACAGAAAGATAATATATATACCTTATACAGTTTTCATCTCAAGAATGTATTGACACCATTTCTCCTTAATTTCTTCCAATTTGTCTTTCGAATAAGTACCACACTTGAATTCATCAAAGTACTACATAATATAACATAATATGCATGATTTAGTTTTAAAACTAATTACTCAGATGAAATATCGGTTAAATATTAAAATAAATCATATAACTTATAAATCCATACCATGTTTGGAATCTCTATTTAACCCGAATGAATAATTTCCTTCATAAACCTCAATACAAAATATTCACAATCAGTCTCATTGCGCTGACGAGGACACTGTAAATAAAACAAACAAATATATATCAAGATATATAGTTTAACTAGCTTTATCAAGTAGAATCACTATAACAGTCAAAATTGTAAAAATATACCTGCACTCTGATCCAGCTAATGTTGTTAGCCTTACTTTTTGGTACTCTTACTTGTCTTTATGATCGGAATATTTGTATAGCTCTAACATAATATAAACGAATATTTAGAACAATCTCACATAATAAATAAAGATAATTATTCAGAACAATATATCTCATCACTTACGTATCAACCATATTCTTCATATCAGGATATTTTGTTTAATCATCATCCAATGAATCCAGATAATACACTATTTCTTTTATCGGATTAATCGCAACCAACAATCAGTTTCCACAGTAAAATAAGACAACAATTTAGACGGAAATGTTATATAGAATGTCAAAAAAACGAATAATTATAATAAATGAATTTAGAATGAAATTTAACCCATGACCAGTATTATATGAAAAAAAAAATATAACTTCTTTGTATTTGTGGCCATAAATGTTTGGACTAAGTAATCTCTGACTACATCTGAAGTATGATCGATTAACCGTGCGTTGATACAGCTAGAAGATAAGAATGTGAATCTCTTTGTCAATTGATGTGGGACCAACAACTTGTCATACAAGAACCTTAAATAAAAACATAATCAACATTAGAATATTCATTGAAATGAGCAAATAAATTGTTCAATTATTTCATTAAAATTGATTGGAGTACCTCATGTAAGAATGTATAACACTAATGCTTAATTCAAAATGTTGGAAAATCTGATCCAAATCCTCTTTAGCAATTGTTTCAGCATAAGCAAAACCAAAAATACCTTTATTCATAGGTATTTAACGAATGCCACCCTCCACCACATCTGTTGTTCCTACATATGTTTCAAGGCACAACCTAAATCGAGGAACATATGCTTTTTTTGGCTCAACCTTTTTTTTGTTGGACACCTTGCTAGATTCAGACATCTTACCCTTGTTGATTTATTGCAACTCTTGAGCATGAAAATCAGAGGATATAATTGATATTTTTTATGCATATATATCAATTAATGTAGGAGTACCTATTTTTTTGATGCAGCTAACTCGGTTTCCCGCACAATCCCCTTATCTTTTGATTTGGATTTTGTAGGAGTCTAAGATCATCATGTGAATAAATGGTACATAAATGTAATAATAACTTACATGTATCGGTCGTAAAACATTTGAATACTACAAGGTTCATAATGGTGTTCAACCTACCTCATCATCTATGAAAATGAGATTTGACAACCATGCAACATACGATCCTATTGCGTCTCCCACCAATGTTGCATCCGAAACATCATCTGGTATAGGCAATAACGCACCCCCTCTAAAGCAATATCAATCGATACTTTCAAAAATCCAGCAGGGAGCAGTTTATGGTGAAGTAAGTCTCCCAAAGTGTTATGCACTTTTCCCTTGCCAACCATGCGATAAGTCGGTGACAATAAATAGAGCCGACAAGGTGAAATGCCCTAAACCAATAATGAATATGATTAATGTGTATATATGTCAATTAAGAAAATTGTGCTAAATTAATTTCAATGTAATATATATAGTTACCTCGGGAAGTTTCTGCTGAAAATTACAATTGATATTATCTTTGTCACTAGTATCTTTAAACTTTGGACTGCGCCTTTCTAACATGTATCTCTCTTTGTCCTTTTGCAATTCACGAATTTGAGCTTTCAATTCTTCCAACAACTCCATCACTTGTTTATTGCTAGGGTTTTTATTCTTTGACTGCTTATACAATTTTGTTGGAGTGACACCAAATCTCTTACCCCTCACACGACTAGAATACTCAAGAACATTTAACACTCGACTTAGTATGCTCCTGCAATCATCATCCTCAGCTGCAGTTATAGTCTGGGATAGACTCTCCTGAAATATAGATAAAAGCATAAATATATTATACACTTTTGAATTTATGTCAGAGCTAATGTTGTACTTACACATTACTTAAATACTTGTTGAACTTCTTCCTGAACGACTCCATCTCTACCCACACGGGCAACCTTCCACAAAACATGGTCTGGAAGAGATGTTACATCATTTTTCTCCTCTTTTAACTACACATTAAGACAGATAATAAGCTTCACTTTTTCCGTATTCTAATTATATCATATTAAAGCATTTATATATACTTACTACTTTTTGTTGTAAGCGTGCATATCACAAACGCCCTTTTTTGTATGGATACACGAGTTTTGATGCTCGTTGCCGATTTACGTCACTCACAACCTGAAAAAACAAGTTTAAGTCATATTAGAACTCATGTGGAAGAAGTATATATATTATACATTGTTCATGATAAGTTAGAATTACATGAAATTCTTGGGTTCTTCGCTTGGCAACAAATATTTCTCATTCTTCAAGTGAAATTAGATCGGCATACTTCTTTGG